AAGGTAAGGCTCTAGCTAGTAATAGTCATGCTAAGTTATGCTCTCATTTCAGTGTCTGGTTGGAGGAAAAAGTGTTGATATTCAGCGTGCTCTGTGTTCTTTTTGTTTTCAGTCGCTTCAGTCACATTTGTGAACAGACAAGATTTACATAGCTGAGACTATCTCCATTAGCAAGAAGTTTGCCCAACAGTTTGCCGGTACCTATCTTAATGCAAACATATCCCGGCATACTTTTTCAAACTGAAACTGAAACTGATATCTTCAAAAGTATATACTTCATTTGCATCTCATGTTTATTTGAATAAAAACGAGACAAACAACTCTGACAAATTTGGTCAGCACTCACCAAATAATTATCAAATATGACAATGCTGCATGCATATTTACAAAAACTTTAAGAAATGACGTTCTGAAAGTTGAAATCTTTATACCTTTACATATGGTTGTTTGATTTATTTTCTTACAAAAGTTTTCAAAAGACGATGAAATATAACGAACTCAGAGTAATAAACAACGCCCGGCTTTGAAGTTATTAACCAATTAAAAAGATAAAAGACTGTGTCGCTCACATTGAAGATGATCTGTTGAGTAAAGAGAATCCGAGTCAATTTCACGATTTTAAGTCAAACGAAAGAAAAGGTAGTAATACAGTTAACACAATGCTAAATTACTGACAAGTTTATTTTTGCATTTGATTTACTGAACAGCACTACACTTACTTCCGTATATTGTCTTACTGGCTAACACCTTACGAGGTCTTACGACAATGTTTGAACTCGGGGAGCTTATAACAGGCATTTTACAGTTTACTATTTTTTTTCCCACTGGAAACAGTGCTTGCCAGAACAGGATCTAATGGGTGATGGTAAGAATATGGACTCCCCAGACAGTTAAAAAAAGATTGGGCGAGGACTTTGCGAAAGTACCAAAGCTGAGGGGTACATTGACCGTTCTAGTTGTCTAACTGGTTTGTCACTTAAACTAAATATGTGAAATCGTATTTTACAAGTTTTCTTATTCATACCTTTAGCTAGCTCAGTGTAGGCCTTTAAATTTGATCTGACATTCTTCATGGCTTCAAGATCATTCGCTTTAACTGGAACGTTAATAACTTCAATACATCCAACGTTTTTCCCTAGTGTCAAACCATGATGGTTTAAGGTCAAAATAATCTTTGCCTAGATAAAAGATAAATCAATTTTTGTTTTAGTTATAATGACAATGCTGAGAATTTCGTTTAAGCATAAAGGTACCTGGAATTTTTAGCTTACCAAACCAAAGTGAGTTAAATTGAGCGAGACACTTTTCTAAACCACCGCATAAACCGTGATCTTGAGGAAGGAAGCAAGCTAACTCTTTTCAATTAAATTACCTCCTCCGAAAAAGGGCTGATCTGACTGGATAAGTCACGAGTCTTTAATGCAGAAGAAATCGTCATAGTTTGAGCTTAAACAAAGTTGGAAGCAGGGATGTGTGTTCGTTTTGTAACGCCTCTAGCTATCTTGGAAAAGAAGTTCACCTTAATACCAGACGGGTTTGTCACTTTCAGAATACACTACTTCGTATAGATGTGGACTATCACTTATATAGAATGGTATTTTACAATTTTCCATCTTCATACCTTTCGCTGGCTCAGCTGTGGGGGCCTTTGAATTTGATTTAACATTCTTCATGGCTTCAAGATCTTTTCCTTTAACTGGAACGTTTTCAACTTCAAGACATCCAGTGTTTTGGGATAGAGTGTCAAACCATGACGGTTGAAGGTCAAAATAATCTTTGCCTAGATAAAAGATAAATTAAGTTTTGTTTTAAGATTGCAATGTAGAGAATTTCGTTTCCACATAAAGATACCTAAGATTTTAGCTTACCGAACCAAAAGTGAATTAATTTCAGCGAAACACTTTTTCTAAACCGCCGCAAAAACCGTGACCTTAAGCATTCGATAAAAGAACAAGCTAACTCTTCAATTAAAGCTACCTCCTCTGAAAAATGATTGATCTGAGTGGGTAAGCCACGAGTCTTGAATGCAGCAGAAATCATCACAGTTTGAGCTTGAACAAAGTTGGAAGCAGCGATATGCGTTCGTTTTTACGTCTTTAGCTTTCTTGGAAAATATGTTCACCATAATACCAGAGGAATCTGTGTTATTTTTGTATGATGTAACACCTCATGAAGTTGCTCACTGAATTTGAGTCAGGCGAGTACATTGCAAAAGTACGCAAGCTGAAGGGTACATTGACAATTCTAATTGGCTTAATAGGTTCTTCACGCTCAGAAGACACTACTTCGCACAGATGTGGACTATCACCTATGTAGAATCGTATTTTAAAGTTTCCATCTACATACCTTTCTTCATGGCTTCAAGATCTTTTGCTTTAAGTGGAACGTTTTCAACCTGAAGACATCCAACGTTTTTTGATAAAGTGTCAAACCATGACGGTTGAAGGTCAAAATAATCTTTGCCTAGATGAAAGATGATTAAAAAATCAAAGCTGATTTATGGAAGAACATGTTATCAGTTCTGAGTATCTAACTGTTTTGTGACTCGTAAGACTACACTGCTTTCGCGCAGGTGTGCACTGTAAAGGAATGGTAATTTACAAGTTTCCTTCTTCATACCTTAAGCTTGCTCAGTGAAGGCCCTTGAGGTGGATTTTAACATTCCTTATGGTTTCAAGATCTGTTACGCTAACTGGAAAGTTTTCAACTTTGAAACATCCACCGTTGTTGGATGCAGTGTCAAACCATGATTGTTGAAGGTCAAAGTAAGCTTTGCCTAGTTTAGAAAAAAAAAAGAAGCAGAATTAAAAATAAAAGTGCATGGAAGAACTATTAATGAAATCAAAATATTTATTTTTAGTGAAAGATGATGCAAACACCTCTTTCCTCTCCAAAAACAAGGCAGTCGTATCAACCGCGTTGTCACCACTCAGTTGATGCGACGCCATCCCAATTTACATACTCACCATTAAATATTTGTGGTTTGCTCCGGGACTCTTCTGCTTCTGTTTTATTCTACTGGAAGGTAAAATTAAGGCCCCCCTCGAGCTCGGAAATGTTGTACCTCGCCTCTTGCAGCTTTTCGTCTATTGATGCCGTTTGGTTAACAAAA